CCATCTGCTATTCCTGTCAACCGTCTCCACTTCTATCAATCTACGGCATCTTTCGTCCTTACTTCAGCTCGGAGAGGTCCTTTTTCATCACTTCCCGCCACCTCTTTTTTGGGACTCCTCGTGGTCGCCTTTCTTGAACCTCGAACTGTATTGCCTCGCTTATTGGACGATTCGGTTGTCTTCACCATTCGTAGTGCACCATCTTGGACGCTGCTCTCTAACCTTCATCTGGACGGGAAGTGTTCGGATGAACGCCCTCAAGTCTTCGTTTCTAATCCCGTTCAGTCGGAAGAGCAGACCCATCTGAACATCGTGATTTCAACGAAGTGAAGCTGTCTTTCATGACCTAACTTATAGGCCAGCATCTGCTGGCGTAGAGCATCGTGGGCCTCACCGATGTGCGGTACACCTTCCCTCTGAGCGTCCTGGAGCACCATCGGTACCACAGAGGATATCAGTAGACTCTCTTCAATTCCATCCATGCCGCTCTAGTGGGGCTTTTACAACTTGGTCCACGCTACCATCAGCAGCTAGGTCTTCCTCAGGTATCGTACATCCTGTACTCTTTCGACGGCTTCATCTAGGCCGTCTACGATTGGGTCGGTGCATTCCTGAGAAAGCTGAGAAACTTGTTTATCTAACGCTCAGCCCGAGCTCATTCTTCGCCAACTCTTTCTGCCATTTATGCGGTCTTTCTCGAGTCCTATGCTTTCAACGATCAGAGCCATATCATAAGCGTAGAGGGTGGGCTCTAGCTGGAAAGAGATGGGGTCCACATCTACGAAGGTTGAATTCGTCGTGGACCTGATGAAACCGAACTCTACTATTGAAGAGTGAGTTCACTCGGATCTAGTCTGACTTGAGCCGAGGACAATGGTAGGACTGTGACAGAACTGTCCTTGTACAATCTCATTCCCCTCTACAATGCTGTTTATTGGTTTACAGACGATGGTCTCTGACCTGAGGATTTTCCTGACTTCTCATTACAGAAAGTGTAAACCTTCATACACAGTATAAGCTTGTTGTTGTTTGAAACAGGAATAACACTTTCCCATTTTTACTGTAATTATTAGTAGAACTGATGGCGGGTAACGCAAAAACGGAACTTCGCCATCTCCACTTTTTAGTAGTCCTTTTTCATTAGATCGAGCCAGTGGGTTTATAGTTTTCTGAAGCTTCGTTGACCTCTGATAGCAGTTATTCAAGTTAGGTGAGCACTGGAATGGATTCACGATTCTAATGGAACACGAGTGGTGGCTTATCCTGGTACTTGAGAGTACTTGCTGTTAAGTTAGGGCACTCCTGAGCGCAGTTCAATGATANATAGCCAATTAAATGCATATATATGGATAAGTAATAGTGATAACTTCATTATATGTTAGAAAGGTAACATATTCAAGATTTTGTGAAGTATTTATTTTTGTAAGTAACAAGCTTCTCTCTCAATGGGAGGATACTCGGAATTGGTATTCGGTTCTTTCGAGGAAGTCGTCTGAGTGCGTACGTGGAGCGTCAATAAGACGTCGTAGCCCGTATGGTATTGAGCATATGATGCGGAGCAAAGTCGCTCATTAGTACGATCGCCTCCCACCTGTTGTCTGCTTTTTCCGCTTACCCATTTTCGGTGTTAGAGTGTATTTTTCAAATTTTGAAATAAGAGATCTAAAATTTGAAAAATTCAAGTGTTTTTAGATCGGATTCTCCAGCTTTTTGGTTGAAAATGGCAGAAAAACCCTCCCCTTCAGTTCTGGCGCAATGGTCAGTGATTTTAGGGAGTCATGGGATGAGCCTCCCTGAAATTGGGACTCATAATACTGCTTCCAATGCTCACTCTGACGTGACGAACTTGCTATCAGTTTTCTCCGCCCATGCCTCTTTTGTTCAATACTGTGGCTCTATCAATCCCTCAAAAGCCATGCAAAACTTTTCAAGCATATTTACTTGGGCATGCGGGCACGGTAGTTTAAAGGCCAGGGAATAAATCTCTACTGCAGCGCAGTAAGCGTGGCTCCGCACTCTGCGCCGCGATGCGTCGCCATGATGTCATTCTCACGCTTCGCGTACGCCAGCGCGCGACATCTCCTTTCCTCTTTATTTTTTTCGTCAGCTTCAATATGAGCTTCATCATCTCATGCCACCTTTGTAATTTTTCTTTTCGCTAAAACTGTTAAAGAGAAGTACTCAAATGGATCGACTTGATAGGATCCCTTCCGTCTACGGGTGACTTCGCAACGACAGAAATATTGCTCAAAAGCTGAAATTAGGTGGAAGTTGCGCCGTGGCGCCACATCGCATATCTAGCTAAAGAATCGTACCTCGCCTGCGCCTATCTTGTCATCCACCCACAACCTGATTCCAGTTTGACTACCAAAGCTATTTTGGAAGAGGTAAAAATCAGCTGAGACATATGCTCATGGATCACTAGGCCTTGCTTTTCCAATGCGAGTTCACAGGTTCCAACTCATCCTCGAATCCCGGAAAGAATCCTGCGGTAGTGTGTGCAATGGGGTTACGTCTGACGCCCAAATTTTCACCATTTGTAGGATCTCGTATAGTGTACTCTCTAAATTGATATGACGTTAATAGTATCTCCCTACATTAATAATATGTATAACCCAAAAAACGTTTTGTCATCTGCTCTCTATCAAAAATCCAGGTCAAGCTAAGCCATGCACAAAAAATTTACTTCATTAACCGCTAGTCAAGCTATAATAAGAACAACGATTCGAATTTGCACAAAAAATGAAGAGAAATACACGTGGCTGAAAACGTAAAAACAATTGAACAAACTTCGCTGACAACAAATTGATCAAAATTAACACGGCCACCGGTTAGCATACGGCCTGACCAACCATCGAAAGAATCGAATATCGATTAGAGCAAAATCTACACACAGCGCGGTTCTGGTCTAGAGATCGTCATCATCATCTGGCAAGTCAGCGTCTGCAGCCTTTCTCAAATCATCCTCGTACTGAGCAACCATAGCTGGATCCATTGTAACCTACAAATCAATACTTTACCTCTGTCATAGAAATACCTAGGAGCTTTTCTTTCAACAAAAAATAAGTTACCTCAGGCGGAGCAAGGGCTGGCATAGCGACGAACTCCAAGTTTGGATCACCCAAGAGCTTGCGAGCTAACCATAGGAATGGCTTTTCGAAGTTATAGTTAGATTTAGCAGAAATATCATAATATTGGAGATTCTTCTTGCGATGGAACGTGATCGTTTTTGCCTTGACTTTTCGATCTTTGACATCGACCTAGAAAATTCTCAATGTAAAAAAAAACAATAGGATTGGCGTATTCAACGATACCTACGAGTAGAGCCAACACTACGCTCCCGGACCATCACAAGAAAGGTTACCAACAATGTAGCAAGTTCTCTATTTCCAGTAACCCTGTAAGAACTTACCTTATTTCCACAAAGTACGATAGGGATATTTTCACAGACTCGGACCAAATCACGATGCCAGTTGGGTACATTCTTGTATGTGACACGAGCTGTTACGTCAAACATAATGATCGCGCACTGGCCTGAACATCAAGTATAGTAGGAGTGAAAATAACATGGGTAGAAAACCAGTTATACCTTGAATATAATAACCATCGCGCAATCCTCCAAACTTCTCTTGTCCAGCAGTATCCCATACGTTGAATCGAATTTGACCTCGGTTAGTATGGAAGATAAGAGGATGGACTTCCACTCCAAGTGTTGCTAAACAAATCAATAAAAAATTAGGAAGAAAACAGCCAAGAAAAAAAAAACAAGTAGACTCACCAACGTATTTCTTCTCAAACTCTCCAGTTAAATGACGCTTGACGAAGGTTGTTTTTCCTGTTCCACCATCGCCTACCAATACAAGCTTGAAGGTAGGGATCCCGTCGCCAGCACCTGCCATCTGAACAAAGCGTTGTGTTGACATCGATTACGTTACAGAGTCCACCACAGGCGAACAACAATCGAAACAGACGTCTCAAAATCAGCCGTCTCCAGCCAAAACAAAGATGCTCCCGAACAACTAACCTTAGATAAACTTGTTGGAAAAAGGACAAGCTAATGCTGTTTAGTTCACCTTGTAAAATAAAAGCCGAAATGTTGACGTAGTGGGTGCTTCAGATATCAATATATACCCTGGGAGGTGACGTCATAGAAAAGGGCGGAGATACCGGTGACCAACAATACTGGCAGGAACATTTCGCAACGAACAGAGTGGTGACTCATCAGTTGCACACGACTACGTCACGGGAATAAGTGCAAAAGGGGCGGGGCGTCCGCAAAGGGGAGGGCCATTTGAGCGCAGGGGCGGGGCACAAGTGAGCAAATTGTCATCAGTGGAACAATGTATAGGGCAGGAAAAGGAAGCAGTAGCCCATTAGCTTAGCCGGAAAATACTCGAAGGACACCATTCGTTTCTCACGAACTAGAACACAACGAAAGACGAGAACACGTTCCCGTTTATTTTTAATCAACTAATATATTACAATGGATGTAATATTTACGACACAGCGGTAGTATAGAAGCATGATGACGAAGTGAAGATGGATAACTCTCCTGTAAAACAAAAAGGGATTGGTTAAATTCTTCTATTTACGGATTTCCAGAACTGTTTATGTGATTTCTCACTTCCTCATCGGAATCAGATACATAGTGGACTTTTTGAACCCTTTGGAGACAGTGAATGTTTGAAATATGCATATTCGCTAATCAAATAGCCCAATAGAGGTGTCAGCTAACCCTCCTTGCCTCAGAATTTCGTGTTGCTGAGCAATCGATCGGAATAACAAGCAAGAACCTAATGGTGTAAAAAAGGCAAGAAAGAACGATGCCAAGCGGTAAATGATGAAATCGTAAAATTGTCGATTGGACGTTTGATAACTGACAAACTTCTCGAAATTCCTGGATTAACGAAAAAGCTAACTTCACAGATATTACCAACAAAAAGTAGCTTCCTATAGAGCAAGTAAGAGAGGTACCAAACAAAATTAATGAAGGCAGTAAATGAACTGAGCAAGACTGGATGAGAAAGGCCGCACACGGCGTGCAACCAAAGCAGAGTGATTGAGCGCCAATAAGACGATTTCGAATTGAATACTGCGTGGCAGCCCACGTCAAACATCATCGCTCACGTTGAACGGGATCCACGCAGTTTTGTCGGTTTTTGGCAAATGTTCAGCTGATTGGAGGGCAGGGCGCGTATTTTTTCTTACCGATTTTGTGGTACGTTCTTTACGGCTGGTTATTCTGGGTGTCCCATAAGATTTTACCAATCTGGATTTTGTCGAAACAACCGGGTTCTACGAGAAATCAGCCTATGTGTAGGTTGTGATTGACAGCCAAATGTTTTGGAGGCACTATTCTACTATTACACCCCCAAAAACTCAAAATTTTAATTTTCGATGAAACTTCGTCCATAGGGGTAATCCGATGCCCTGATAACGAATATGACCTTCATTTTTGGCGNCGCCAAAAATGAAGGTCATATTCGTTATCAGGGCATCGGATTACCCCTATAGATAAAGTTTCATCGAAAACTAAAATTTTGAGTTTTTGGGTGTGTAACAGTAGAATGGTTCTGGGGGTGTAATAGCAGAATAGTACCGTTTTGGATTGATCGGTTAAATTCTATGGTTTGCTTTTATTTACCATGTGAAAATACTTCACTGCCGATCTCTGCCAACATTGAGGTCTCGGGCAACTGGTTAGTCAACGCATTTTTAGAATATAAGGTACGTAGGATACGTTCTCTCGTTATCAATCGAAGATCCAGAAAAGGTTACGTCTAAAAGCCTTAGCTTAAAACTACGAGCCAAAGGAGTGTGGATAGTGAATGCAGCTAGCTGTTCAACCATTCGTCGGATGATTGACGAACCTTTAAGGCTGCCTGCCTTGTTACGCCTCTGATAATTGATGTGTTTTGCTTGGAACTCCCAAGGTTGCTATTAAATCCTTATATATTAACGATATCGCCTTCCTCGTAGCCTTAAAGGGATCAAAACAATTTGTGGAGATTAGATCAAAGGTCTCCACAGCTTTACGAAGTTCGAGACCCCCGGACTGCATGTAACCTGAAGAAGGGGCACTTACCGTCTGACAATTGGGTATCTTAAGCTCTCAGCTTTTTTTGAAGAACCAATGGAAGCATTTAAACCCAGCAAGTGTAATAGTCAAGCCGGATAACTGGTTTTTGTTGAAAAAGCCGAAGTACTTATGATGGGAAAGGGCTTTTTTCAAAAGGAAATCTCCGTATGATCTTAAGTGATCAAGAGAACGTATGAGGTCCTGATAGCTGTGATTGTTCTGCCATTTCGGTTTATTTACGCCTGTTTTGTTAGTAAAATGAATACTTCGATGAATAATATTTATTTCAGGATTGCGATGGGTAAAAAAGAAAAACACATCAAGGTGGATGTTGGTGTAAGTTTCTCATGTTCTTTATGCTTTTTTGTAACTCTCTCATTTCTTATACTTTAATTTTTGCTCTACTTCTTTGAAAGTTAGGGGTACTCCCGTGGCGGCTCAACTCATAATCTAAGCCCCCTCCCTCTAGTGTTTGCAAAGTTAATTTGTGAAGAGAATCGGAAAGAGAAAGAAATTGTGCCGAGTAATTGAACTACTCCCCGAAGGCTTTCTGAGTTTTTAATAGATGCGTGATAAGCTCAATTCTTTCTTTGAATTTACTAAAATTACTGATTAAAGTCTCAAGGTGTATGTGTCCTGATACGAACCTCTGGTCATCCACTTTCAAGGAAATGAAAATATAGGAAGAATTAGGTTATTTTTGGAGAAATTATAAAAGATTTGGATGAGTCCCAGTTGGGGAAACTTTCTGGGTTCAAGGAATTGTACTCCCAGATAAAGTTAACACTTTTACTGTGTGGAATATTTGTTTTCGCTTTTTTCCTTATTATGTTTCAAAGGTGTTTAGGAGGAGCAAGAGAAAGGCACCTTTCACCTCAAGCCATCCACCGCTGAACCGAGCCTAAAATCTCAAGAATGGCCGCTATTGTTGAAGGTTTCTTTTCTTCTCTTTTTGTTTTTAGTTCTTTTTTGAATTTCGCCCGTGTTTTTTTTTTGCGAATACAAATTTTTTAGAATTTTGACAACATGAACGTACGAACTAACCACTATACTCCCCTTCCGGAAGGCTGTTCTCCATTGAAAAGGGAAATCAGGAACTATATCTCATCTGGTTTTTTCAACTTGGACAAACCGGCAAATCCATCGTCGCATGAGGTTGTGGCGTGGATCAAGCGCATTCTTCGGGTTGAAAAAACCGGACACAGTGGCACTCTAGATCCTAAGGTTTGATTCATGTTTTCCTGGAGTAATTGCTCATTTATAAATAGTATTTTTATTAATGACAACTTCAGGTGTCTGGATGTCTTATAGTGTGTATCGATCGTACGACTCGATTAGCAAAATCACAACAAGGGGCAGGAAAAGAATATGTGGCTATTTTTAAGCTTCATAATGCTGTAGAAAGCGAGAAGAAGATAAAACAAGCCTTAGAGAAGGTGAGTTCATGGTACAGTTGTTGAAGTTGCCTTTCTTTTTGACGATTACGTTAGGCATCCATCAGTTATGTAGGCTTTTAGAAATTGCTTTTTAGCTAACCGGCGCTCTCTTTCAACGTCCTCCTTTGATCTCAGCAGTGAAGCGCCAGTTACGAGTCAGAACAATCTATGAGAACAAGCTTTTGGAATACGATAAGGAGCAGCAAATGGGGATTTTCTGGTGCGTTTGGGGTTTCTTTTATAATCAGTAAAGCGCGTTGACTTTTTTTTTTTTGGATGGAATCGCTTAGCAAACTTTTATTTTAGTAGTAGCTACTGGAGATGTTAAAGGCGCGAAAAACGTTCCGATTATTCCCTGATCCATGAACGTTATTCAACATCTGGTCGTTTCGGATTTGTCCGCTCCACCAAATCTGTTCCCGTTTTCTCCGCTCGTCATTTGTTCCATTATTTCATGGGTGAAGGGACTTCTAAGAAGTGGCATACGTAAAGTTCGCATTGGTCCTATTGAGTTGCCCAGTTTTCCTTGTGGAGCCTCTTGATGAATTATGCAGCTGCGCAGTTTGGCTGTGAAAGCAAGCCTCACAAGCAAGGGAAGCTTTTTACCTTGTGATCACTACGATGTGATCATGATTTGATCGCTATGATTCTCTTTACATCTGATCGTTATTATTCTTTGCCTCTGAACATTCTGGACTCCATATACTTTTTTTTAGTTCCCCTATATCAGTTGCTATTTGGAGCTTCTGCTAGTTGTGCTTTTTCAGGGTCAAATGTGAATCGGGAACATACGTGAGAACGATTTGTGTACATCTTGGTCTCTTGCTTGGAGTGGGTGCGCAAATGCAAGAGCTACGAAGGAACAGGTTAGTAACACATACAATTTGTTATTCTTATCCAGATCTGTTACTCTTGTTCTTTTTTTCATGAGTGAATTAATAGGTCTGGAATTACTGACGAGCATGATCAGCTTGTCACAATGCACGACATTTTAGACGCCCAATATGTGTTAGACCATCATAAGGTAGCGTTTTACTTAAATTTTTTTCTTGGATACGTATTAAACTTAGCTTTTTACAATGCCTATCACAAAATATATCTGATTAGACATAAATCACTCGGTGGTCTGTTGTTAAGGACGAAACTTATATGCGACGAATAGTTCGACCATTGGAAGCACTACTCGTGGAGCATAAAAGGATAATAGTCAAGGATTCCTCAGTAAGTCGAAATATCGTAGTTTCTGGCTTACTCGTCGAAATTATTATATCAGGTAAATGCGATTTGTTACGGAGCTAAGATACTTCTTCCTGGTGTTTTACGCTATGACGACGGTATCGAAGTTGGTCAGGAAATCGTTATCGTCACAACCAAGGGAGAAGCAATCTGCATCGGTACGTCTTATTTTCAAGTCCAGAGTAATTGAACCATGTCGCTTTGAGTATCGACCTGTAGGATTACTTTGCTTGACCAGCTTAGTATATCTTTCCCATGCCCACCGTGCGAAAAAAAAAACTGCCTGTCGTTACTTTCAATGATATAATTTAACGTCCTGATTGTGACGGTATACTGCACGGCGATCCCTCACTTAAGTGATTAAAGAGTCGACTTGAGAAAAGTAATATTTACTGCAAAGTGGGTATAGGCAGATTTTTATTCAATCTTGTTTATCCCTTTTATGATTTCTTGTATCTGAGCTTGGCCCAACGTTCAACCGATCTAAATTAGGTAATTATTTGCGCCATCTCAGAAGTGCACTAAGGATGACCTTTATTATAGGTAAGGGTTGGAGAAAATCGGATCAGGGTGGTTAACTTTAAATTCGATTTAAGAGGGTCCGAATTGGCAGCTGTCTTTACCACCTCTACTTGGCGTCATAGAATCTGTTATTTTTTTTTTTGAAAAGATTAAAAAAATGGTAAAGATAACGATGCCAAATTCAATGAATGCACTGTACTGTAGTGTCAAATCAAGGCAAGCCAACAAGCTTAATTTTTGAAGGGAGATTATTCTATGATTGCAAAGAGAGTAGGCCTTTTTTGTCGTTGTCAATACTTCGTTTATTTGCAGCAATCGCCCAAATGACCACTTCAACAATGGCTTCCACAGATCACGGTGTGATAGCAAGATCCAAACGTGTTATTATGGAACGAGATGTATATGGCCGCAAATGGGGCTTAGGACCGGTTGCGATCAAAAAGAAGCAAATGATAAAGGTATCATCAATGGTCTCCAATATTATCACTCTACAAATTCTTCTTTCTTCTACATAGTCCGAGAAGTTCTCATGAGCTCAAAAAGCACGGTTCCAGGATGGGCTTTTGGATAAGTTTGGCAAGCCCAACGAGAAGACACCTGCAGATTGGAAAGCCGTTCAGTATACAGCCGTGAGTATATTACGACTTCTTTACACGGATTTCCATCTCTAAGGAACCTGTGATTTTTGAATGGTGTAGCGTTTATGAAAAAGATTTAATGGTGGTGGATCTATAAGAGATGAAATACGATATATTGGCTGGGCGTAATGAGCATAGCTTAGTTCTCGTTAGTGTACTGAGTAACGTGAAATTGATTGAACGAAAAAGCTTATGCTTTCACGCAATGCTCCCAGTTGTGGATCCTTATTATATCGGCTTGAAATAGACGCTACATACAGATAATTCACTCAATTACCAAGCGTTGCCCGCATGATTTTTCCTGATTGTTTCATTGTATAGAAGACAGTCTGATGATGTCCGCGATTATATATTCAAAATTTCAATTTTGAGCGCAGTATTGAGAGTTTTGCTTCGTAATTAGATGGCGCGATTTTCAGGAGAGAGGATAACCATCCTATACTTTATCAGAGGACTTCCCTATGGAAGGGCCTCTTATAGATGAGCTAAAACTGATATTTACAAAGAGAAAATGGAATAAGACGCAAAAAGATTGAAACGCACGTTGTTTGTTATAGTAGTGCCGTGACCTTCTGGACACTTTTACTGCAGCGTTCTATTTCCCCACGCTAACTCGTGATTTGAACTTTGAACTCATGATTTTGTTGATAACACGATCGCTACCTCGTGTTGTTTCTCTTTTGTAAGGACAGTATACGTTCTGTGATCGTGAACACCGATACAAGCAAGACCAATGAATATTTTGTTCGCCGGGAATCCTCATAAAAGGGCATTAGCCTTAAAACTTGAATGAGCCTTAGTAAGCTGCGTTTTTGCTCACTCACCCATGGTGCAGCGTGAGATGGAGTCTCTGTGAACCGTCGTTCAGCAGAATACTGCCCCACACCCTTGTGCTCTCTTGGCATTTTAGACACAACCTGAGACCTTTGTGAGCAGTCTTTCATTTCAGAAACTAGTATTAATTGAGCCTCCCTCATCAGAGGATTACAAAATATAATTGCAGGTAAAAGCAGAAACTGTACAAGTGAAGGAAGAAACGGAGGATACGACTGTAAAGTCACCGAAAGCTAAAAAAGCAAAAAAGGAGGCGAAAGTAGTTGAAAGCAGCAGTTCATCATCATCGGATTCCGAGTAGTAGCGCCTAGAAATTTCAGCGTTTTTTGTTGTGGCTGCGAAATGTTATCACTTTGTTTATAGTAAACCTAAAGTATTGCCGTAGATGTTGTTATTTTTGAGATTCTCCTGTTATCCTTCAGATGTTCCCACGTATCGCAAGCAAAGCTAACCATTTGTTATATTGTTAATTTTTGTGATGTTGGTTGTTGGTTTCATTGTATTGAGAAGTTGTTGAATTGGAATAAAAAGACAAGTTTTACACAATGATACGTATCGTTACTTGTTGAAGTTCGTTGAGAGAATCGTAATCTCTCTATACTTCGTAGTTCTTGTTCACCAGCAGAACATTATTTTCGTTTGTTAGGTTGGCCCTTGTGTTTGAAGAGCATTGGATACGTTGAGCATACTGTAGTTTGCCTTCGGAGCGCCTGGGCGCACGCCTGAATCTACAAATAGCTGCTTTCATACTCTGACGGTTCTATCTGTGTGCGTGCCGGCACGCAGGTGAAACCGCAGGTACAATCTTGAGTGCGGCGTGCGAGCGGCTATGCGACGGCGGCGCCAGAGAGGTATTGACAACATTGGACGCCGATGGATTACGTGGCACTGCTGTCACACACTTGGATAGGGGCGAGGTCGCATAGCCTCTCGCACGCCGCACGCAAGATTGTAAATACCTGCGATTCCATCTGCGTGCAGGCACGCACGCAGGTAGAATCGTCGAAGTATAAAAGCACCCAATGGGTTTGATGCATTCAGATTGATTGACAACAGGGGCAAAGCGAATGAGCTCTAGGCACCTATTTCTTCAAGCACTTGTTAAGAATTCAGATTACTGCATACTTAGAAAAGTATCATTTTTGAGAAGTAGGACAGTCGCGCTACATCGTCACGGATGATCAACATTGATCTCCATCACTGATCTGTAATCATCTATATTCGATTGATTATCGTCTGCAACGTGGCAGACGATAGTTGTGGGACTGCTTTTGAGTTAGTCCAAAGACCTAGTGGGAGCCGTTGTTTGTAGGATGGGTTTTTCGACGTTATTCTGATTTGTAGATTTTCTTTGATCCTGTGCGCGAATATTTCGCTATTCTCAATGATTTTCTGATTTCCGCTGTTATCAAGACACAATATTTCCAGGCTGCTGGTAGCATATGAAGAATCTATTTGTATTTACAAGCCCACGGACAAGAGCGAACCCTCAGGGTCTCTTAAATCTACACAGCGTCATAACCCGAGGAGATCCAATGGTCAGCAGTTTACGATCATTTCTTTTCTTACAATATCGTGTTACAATCACACGGAAAACATAGAACGTAGTTGTCCGATCTTATCGGTACACAGCTGACGTTAACTAAATCCCGATCGACAGCTGTGGACTGATCCGAACTCGTGGGGCCAGGTCTGCAGGTTTCTCGCATGCAGATTTGCTATCCACATGCCACGAAGTATTGAAAATGTTTTAGGAAAAAGATTCCGTGACCTTCTCAAATTACTGCATAAAGTGCAACCACTTGGGTTAACCAGTACTATAAAATTATTATATTCTCCTTTCTACGTAAATGGAAAGTAAAAACGGGAAAATTTGCTTTTCCGAGGTTAAATGAAGTGGAAACCGTAACAGACACATAACGCTATAAAATCTCGTCTTATTGTTGGGCCAGTTTTTTTTTAGAAAATACACTAACGACTTATTCGCAACATAGCACAGTTTTTTTTTCGAATCCGAGTTTCTTGTTGAAGAGTTACTTCGATTTACAGGGCAGCACTTTTGTTCTTTTGATGAGTTTGGTTCTGCCCACTCAAGGAGGGGTATAGATGGCCTGGGAAAAATCTATCTAGGGATGATTGGTATTTGAAGGAAGCTTCTGGTGGCCTTGCCTTAGATCCAGCCATCGCGTATTAAACATAAAGTTTTGGGAGAGTATCTGTCGAAAATTACTTAAAAGTTCAGATGGCCACCCTGGATGTCTGGGAGATTCCATAGAGATGCTGAAAAAGGACGGTTTACCAGAACGATATTTGTGCACCGAATAGCTCAGAAGGAGCTCCAAAGTCGATTGCTAGGATTCGAATGGGCTTCTCCATCGGAGTGGCCGGATTTGAACTCGTACAGAGGTACGTGTTGAATAATATTTGGCAGTTCGGTAATTACATAAGCATAAGCATAAGGTTTAATGAGCAAAGCAGAGGTTGTGGATATTTTATATGTATACATGCGGATAGTGCCTTTATACGGAACTCCATAAGTGCTTTCTGATCATCGCCGGAGTGATTTAGGCTAGTGTGGAAATTATAGCAGATACTTCCTGCAAAGCCTAATAATCAAAATGTATAACTACCCGAGACACTGGGAGTGAGTTGGTAGTAAAACTCAACTCCTAAAATGCTCTAAGACTAATGTTTAGCTGCAGATTATTACCAAACAAATTATGTACAGCTCAAGGCTATGCTTCATAAACAGTACATAACTTGCTAAGAAAAAAACTAACATTCTATAAAATAGTGATTTCTCTGTGCAGCTGAGCAGTAGGAACTGAGAAGCAAGTCTACATAGTCTATCGAAAGCCGAGATAAAGTAATGTACTCGAGAAAACGAGCGGGGAATTATATGGACAACAAATTGTTTTATGTAAACTTTTGTCTTGACCCACTATTCTGAGCCAGTATATTATTTATTGGCTACAATAAATGTTTTTCCTCTAGCTCCTAAACTTTTTGTTTTCAACATTTTCTAGGAAATTGATGGCATCAAAATGGAAATGAAGCTGTGTGTTTACTGCATAGACTTTTAAAAAATTAGCCGACTGCCGATGTACGTAATTGACCAATTACCCATGAAAATCTTTATTATCTTTGTGACGTTGATCCATAATAGATGCAGAATCTCATCATTATATTATCCTTGATACCCTTCAAACATTTGTGAATAGAATATGTTGGTTCGAACTACACTGAAAATTGTTTGAACTAACACTCTCCTGAAGTTATTCACCACGTCTGACCGCTCGACATAGCGACTACCTTGGTGTTTTTCGGCATGGGCACTAAAAGCCGGACGATTTTCAAAGATCCCTGCTTCTGGATCTTTCTCCGCGAGGCTCCAGTGTGATCGTTTTGCGTTCGCGAAATACCGTGGGGTATAGTGTGCAAGCAAATAGAGAAGCTCCTACGCCAGCACAGGATACGCATTAGTCTGATATCTGATGGTGGAGTACTGGGAACGTCAAACCCCC